CTGAAAGATTGGTACCAGGCCAAACCCTCAGAAGCCTCTTCACACCCTGAACCCAAGTCAGCCTTCTGCCATTTAGCTATACCCTTGGTTGCAACTCCTGGGGCCAGCCTGAAGAAGACTCTCCCACCTCCAGAGGACTGTCAGAGATCCAATGGTCCTTCCTGAAGCCTCTCAGCCAAATAGCCTAATTCTTCAGCTTCCCAGAAAAGAAGCAAATACAGAAACCCCCCAGGGCTGGGCCAGCAATCCTCACACCTGGGCCCTGGAGTATGGTGGGGTAGAACTCTGCACACGAGTGTTTTCAGCTGGCTTAGATGCCTCTCAGACCAACCATAGGAGAACCTGTCGGTGCATGGCCATTAAGCTGATATCACAAACCTTTCCTTCTATCATACGCACGAACACTCATGCTTTCAATTCCAGATTGCATTTCTTCACAGACAAGTGGCTGCTCTTTCACAGGTAGACTCCAGCTACACATCAAGAAACACTGATCATATTCTGAGGAACAAGGTGACAAATCTGAATTCTGGACCACATCAAAAAGGATGGTTGAGTTTCCAAGGAACTGACATTTTCTGACCCTTTAGGCCAAAGGTTTATACAGAAGACCAAATGTCTGTGTGTTCCCGGGGGGGGGGGGTGTTGTTCCCAGGCCACTAACCATCTCCTAAGAGTATACTCACTGCAACTGTATTCATTCGCCCTCTGCTCTGGTCCAAAGGGGTCTGGGAAGCTTTATGCAAATGAGATAAAAATAATTTTAGGGGACATAAAGCCAGGTGAAAGAAAGACACCCAGCCTTGGAGACCCAGCATTTGGAAGGGGTCAGCACCAATGTCCGGAGGAGCTGGGCAAGCCGGGCTCTGGAAAGGGCTGACCTTGAATATTCCTTTTGTGACTGGCAGTTCTGGAGAAACAATGCCTAGTCCAGTGCCCTAGCAGTTACAATACTAGTGGTAGTGGTGATTTGCTTAGTATCTTGCTTTCTCTTGCTTTTCCAGTTTTATGTTAGTTACTGACCAAGAGAGGTGAGAGAAGGGAAGGGGGGTGGTGGAAGGAGGCATGGAGAGAACAGAAAAAATAGAGAGCTGAGAGACAGAGGTGGGCAGAGGAGGGAGGAGCAAGAGGATGAGGGAGAGGGCAGCCCCCCTGCACTGGACTGGGATGAAGATGCATAAACGACAGCTGTGGGAGTAGGGTCTGCAGACCTGCCTTTAACAAGCCAACAAGTTAGCTTGAGTCTTCCTCAGTCTACCTGTCTTTGCCCAGTGACCCTTCTCATCTTTGTCTACACCACACAGCAGCCTACTCACTGTGGCAACCTGATTCTACAAGCACCACCCATCTCATCTGTAACCCTCCACCGTATACCCACCCCCAGGGTCCCCCTCCTCATATTCCCTCTCTCACCTACCCTGTGTGTTCCACCAGGACACTTTGTCCCCACCCACCGTGGGGCAGACTGCAGACAGCCACCACCAGGCCCCAAGAGGGCTAAGTGCTGACTGCTAGGAGACTGTCAGCCGGGCAGTGTATGGGGGCAGGGCTGCAGAAGCCTGAGAAGCCAGAGGGACCCTTGTGCTGAGAAGAGGAACTAGAGTTGGTCCTAAAGAAATGTCCTTGGGACACAGCACACAGTCTCATGGGCACCAGGGAGAAGCCCAGAAAGGAGACCATTAGAAGGTACCGAGGAACTGTGAGAGCTAGCCACCTGCTCTACAGTGTGGCTTCCATACTCAGGAGCCCATGGTCCAATAGGAACTTGTCCATAGGAGAGGAGCCCTGTTGAAGAAGGGAGAAGGGGAAGCCAGACACAGGCTCTCCCACAAGTAAAGGAGCAAGGAGCAGAGAAGCCGCTACCTAAACAGGAAATCCAGGTGTCACTGAGGGCATGGGGTAAGCGTGGGCTGAGAACTGAGAATGGAGGCAAGAAGTGACCAGTGGGGGTGGGGATGCAGCAATGTGGACCATGAGGGGGGGGCACAGCGGAATTTGTTAAGTTTGCATAAAGTCAGTTCCCTGCCATGAGATCGGCTCAGAGTCTGGGGAGAAGGGGAGAGCCACAGGTTGACCCATTGGACAAGAAATTATAAGAAGAAAGCAGGAGGAACGAGGTAGGGGTCGGGTGGAGTGTGTGGGGTGTATGGGCCCATCTTAAGATTTCTTCCAGTGTCTATGGGGTCTGTCCTCTGAAGGAACCCACATTCTTTTAGCCTCACGGAACCTCTCCTCTTCCCTTGGGCTCTTTCCAATCAGTTCTAATACTGTGAGAAGAAAAACTGGCAAAAGGGTGAGGAAGGCCCTGTGGGACTTGGTCTACTTGCCTGTCCCTTGCCCCAGCACTTGGGGGTCCCAGAAGAGACACTCTTGGAGGGCTGTCTTGATGGCTTGTCTCTGTGGTATTGGGACTGACATTGGGGTTGAACACACCATCCCTCGGAGCAGGTCCTGGGGAGGTGGTGGACATTCATGGTCCCTCCTTCCTCCTAAGAGCCACACAAACTTCAAAAGCCTAATTACTCCTGATTCGAGATTTCCTGGTTTTGTTCCTCAGGGTAAGGAGGTTCTCTGCCATTCACTTTCACTTTCATAGCTGAAGGGAATTGGGGACCAGAAAGGGAGAGGGCGGCACAGGCTAGGCAGAAGGTGAAGTAAAACCATCAGTGGGCAGGCTGGGGGTAAATGTAGGAAATCATGGGGGGGGGTTCCCAAGTCCTCTGTTTTGCCTCTGTGTGGAGCTAACCAGTAGCCTACCCAGCAGCGGCCATGATGCTCCCCTCAACTTCAGGGGGTTTGTCTCATCTAGACCCAGATGTAGGCAGGAGAAAGGAGACACTTGAAGCTTGGGTGGGTAGAAAACGCAAAGCAACCTTTATTTAAAAGCCCTACCACGCCCTATAAAGTGACCTCAGCCATCACTACTCTTTTTTTAGGGTACTCTTCTCCATTCTGTCAGCACGCCCGCCCGTTCCAGCTGACCCTTTGAGCCGGGCTGAGAGGGAATAGAGGAGGCCAGAGGGGAACTCAGTCTTGTCCCCAGGAAGCCAGCATCCCATAGTGAGGGGGTAAAGGGCTGCTACTCAGGAAGCAGAATTGTTAAGTGTGAGAATCCTACAGAGAACAAAGTGGGAGTAGGGGGTGGGCGGAGAGGTGGCTCTTGTCACCCACCCCTATGAATACCAGGTGGACTTCCGTATCACTTTCTGAGGCCAAAGGGTTGCCCGGACCTCTGAGGGGAGGGGTGGGAAGTCTAAGGGCCTCACTTTCTTCACACCCCTCCCCTCTCACCTGGAGAATGCCGGGTACACCCGAGGGGGTCTAACAGCCCAGGTGAAAAGGAACTTCTGTTGGGCTGGGTGGACCCAGCTAGAGACCCCCCACGACCTTAGGGACAAAAATCCCAGGGTAGCCAGGAGGCTGGCGACAAGGTCCTTCTTTATGGGAGAAGAGCGGGGGCGAAGGCGCTTCCTCTTGAGCCCAGGAATTCAGCGGCGGCGGGTTCTAATTAGAAGCCTGGCGCAGGAGCGGGCAGCCCGCGGGGCTCTCTCTCGGACGCGCTGCCCCTGGCTCGCAGCGACCCACGGGACGCGCCTCACTGTGTCCGTGCTCCTAGACGCGCCGGTCGCAGCCTGTGCTCCTGGAGGCCGCAGGGCTCCACAGGTGCTGCTCCGGGTCGTAAAAAGTCACGGGAGCCGAGGCTCAACTAGATAGATCCCTGTAGAGTGCGTCTGCTACCCCAGCACCCTCTACAGCCCCTAGCCGACTCCTGGGTGCTCACCCTCCATCCCTGCAGCGGCGCGGGCCCTGCATCCCCACCCCAGGCTCTTCAGCTCCTCTCCTGAAGCATCTCGAAGAGAAAAATGATTATCGGATTAGATGTACTTCGGCTCGCTGGGTCCCCCCTTCCCCTCGGCATAATTATTATAATTCCAGGCAAGCTGTCGGAGAGTGTTCCTGGGGGGCGGGGGTGGCGCGCATGTTTGTGGGGAGGCTTCTGTCCAACTGAGTCTCCACCAGCGGCGCGCCCCGGCCCCTTGGCGCCCGCATTCCTCTCGCTTGTGTTCGAGAGATCTGCGCATCTGATCGTGGCCTTAAGTCTGAGCTCCATTCAGGGGAGGGGGTTGTTACACACCCCGAGAAAGGGGCGCCCCAATTTCTCCTCCTTACAAGGGTATAAGCGGAGGATCTTTCCTTTGCCCAACTTCACTCCATCCCAAGCTGAGAAGGGTCTCCTCTTAGTGTTCCCTGTCTGGAGTGGAGGATGCTATCCAGCCTTTCCAGGACCGGTCCCCGAAGGCTCTCACTCCAGAAAACTCAAATCCCTTACTTTACCTACTGTTCACCCCTCCCCGCAGCAGCGTTTCCTTGTCAGGCAGATACAGGCTGTGGACAGTAGACCGACCTCTACACCCCGACAGCCACGAAGAAGCGACAGCGACAGCATTGGGGAAGCGCGCAGGGCTCCCGTCTGGCCCCGGTGCGCCTTGCCGCAGGCTCCGCGCCACTCCCCGCCCGGTCTCGGACTGTCTTTACGTAACTGCCCTGCCCCGAGCTGTTCGGTCTTGTCTCGCGACTTTGTTTTAAAGTGTGTGTGTGTGTGTGTGTGTGTGTGTGTGTGTGTGTGTGTGTGTGTGTGTGTGTAAGATACCGTCCCTAAGAAGATTCTCCCTCTTCCTCGCGCAGCTTCCTTTTTACACTTTCTTCGACTATCTCCTAGGCGTTAGTGTCATGTGCTAACCCGCTTTCTGCCATTCTTGTTCGACGCCAGGGACAGCATGGACCTTCACTGCCCTCCCCGCCTGCCAGGGGAATCAATGTCCCCGGAAGCTCCGCCACCCCGCGCGTCCCAGCTGCGGCCCGAACAGGTCCAAGTGGCGGCCAAGGAAAACAACCCGCCCGCAGCCAGTGCGCAGAGCAATGGTGGGGACCCTGCCCCCCAGGGGCAGCTGCCCTAGGGTGGCATTGTGGCCGGAACGAACGCAAGTAGACTCACTCACCACCAGATCGGGTAGCTACCCAGCGCCTGCTTCAGGCTGCAGAGCACTAAGAGGTATCCGAGAGGAGCCATCGCAGGCTTGAACGCGCAGGCGGGGAGTCCTCCCCGAGAGCGCGGGCGCCGTGGCTGGCCCGGCCCTTGGAAGTGGCTCCGCTGCAGTGGCGCGGGGCCCTCTGTGGCAACAGGGTGCGCGGGGTTCCCGGGTGTGCACCGGTACGCGGGCTCAGAGGGCGGCGCTGCGCCAGGTGGGCCGGCGGCCGGGCGGCGGGCCGAGGCCCTGGGCGGCGCGGGGCGGCGGGGGCGGGGCAGCGCCGCGGGGGGCGCCCGCCGGGGCTGGGGCCGGGGCGGGGCAGGCGGGGGGCGGGCGGGGCCCTGCGGGTTTGGAGCCTCGCGGCGCTGGCCCCTCCCGAGGCCGTGGGTGCGCAGGGTGCTAGGGTGAATGAGAGCGCGCCCGTCCCTGAGGTGTTGAAGGTGTGTGCAGCGTGTCAGAGTGCGTAGGTGTTCATGGAGGGGTGCTGGGGTGCGTGCGGGGTGCTGGGGCACTGCAGGTATGTGTCAGTATACAATGCGCGCTGGGGTGCACAGGGTGTTAGATCTGTCCAGGTGTACATGGGGTGTTCTTGTGCATGGGGTTAGTGGCCTTCCAGGGCCACGCTCTGCCAGCTGGGAACCGCACTGCACGCATAGTCCTCCGCCTCCGTTTTGGTTCTTCCTGGATCTCAAACATCAGTGTAGCCCTGAATCTCCAGCTCTGGCATGCTGAGCTCAGGGCAAGAAAGACACACAGCCCCTCACTCCAGCACTTATTTTTTCCCCTTCAAATGTTCTGTCACATCTTGTCCCTTGCTCTTGGCAGCGTTGAAACTCCCCTTGTCCATTACCTAGCCTCAGGAGTCGGTCTGTAGCCACACCCTGCCCGGGAGCAGGGATCATTAAGAGACCTCTGGGCAGGTAGCCGTTAGGGACTCCAAGCACAAGAATTGCTCCATCTACTCTGTCCTTCATATCCAACCAGTAAAGAACACCGAAGCCTATTGCAGTTCCTGGGCTCGGACTCTGGAACCACCACTTCTAGTTCTGTTCAACGCAGTAGCAGCATATTCAGGGGAGTTAAACAAATATTATTTTGCTGATTGGACAGGCAAAGAGATTTTTCCTGACTGAGGCCATTTGAAGAATTCTGTAGCCCAGGAAAAGACCCTAGGGAGTTTTGTCATTTGAGAATAAGGTGCAAGTTTAGATGTGCCCCAGCTTCTCTCTGGGGCACCTAAAGGCAAAACAGGTAAGAGACACCTCCCACCAGGGGTGTTGCTCCTCAGCACTTGAGGCTGTGAAGGAAGCTGGGCGGGAATTTCGTGGCATTTTTAATTGAAGAAAGAGCCACCGCAGCAGAGCAAATTTCGGGCTTGTCAGTGGTGCACTGTCCACTTCTAGAACCCTTGGTCTTGAGTTATTATTACTCGCCCTATGGTTTAGCGTTGGGAGCATAAAATGGTCTCCGGGGTGGGTGTGGCACCCTGTGCTCTGCTGCTTCTTAGGAGATGGCCAGCTGTTTCTGTAAGTTTAGTATAGACTGGAGAAAGAGTCATGCTGCTCCCGTAACCTGCTTCCTCTCACCCAATATCCATATTTGGTTACCATCAGTAAAGGGAGTTCATGATGTTGAGGATGCCATCCGTGGTCTTATACACCCTGGCTCCAGGAGTCACCTGGAGATGGCATCAGGAGCCCCAACTTTAGAGTAAGAACCATTTTTTTTTTTTTCCGGCACCACCATTGTGAAGCCACTTAGTCTAGGTTAGTCTGGCCTTTGTCCACCCTTCCTGGTCTGAGTCACTACTGGACTCCCATCCTCAGAAGGAAGGAAGGAAGGACGGACGGATGGACGGACGGACGGACTCCAGAATGAGGCAGGCATGGAGGAGAGCTGGTTCATGAGTACTTTGGACTGTTCCTCTCTCTCAGTGAAAAATCACATCCCATTATCAAATCACTGGGAGAACCTCAGCTATGGATGGTGTAGGAGCCTGAGCCCAGCAGAAAGACTCTCAGCCACTACCACCCTCCAGGTCCTGTGGTTTGGGGATTAACTCACTGGCTGATGGCTCTCCAGACAAAGAAGTACCCACCAGCAGGGTGCATCCTTGTTCCCTACAGAACTTTTTCAGACTCCACCAAATGAGGCATGGAGGAGGCACTGTTCCTCAGGCCAACCCTCCTACCCTATTTGTCCACAAAGGTTTCTCTGGCCTCTTAGTTTCTTTCATCTTCTCTAATAGGCCACCTGTGGGTGGTGGGCACCAAAGTGCCAGTACTTCACTGTCCTGCTAATACAGGACAAGCCAGACTGAGAGCCTGTGTGAGAATGGAGCTCTGCCCCCACGAGGGCTTGCAGGTGGGGCTCTGTCCGCTGAACTTTCACTGCAGACTTGAATGATTACACCATGCCCTATAGGGAGGGAGAGAACAGAGAGGAGGGGAGCCAGAGTACCTTGGCTCCCTGAGTCAGGGTGAAGTTTGAGGGATCAATCTCCAAGAACACTGCGTCAGGTTTTCTCAGAGTTTGTATGCAACCACTAACATACGAGAGGCCCTGCCCTTTTCTGGATCCCGTCACTGTCGGCATAGAGGCCTCCATGGAGCCCGGGAGATGGCTTCTCACTTGGTGTGGACCATTGCAGTAGAGGGATTCTCTACTGTACCAGGACCTCTGGGATTCTCTCTTCCATCCGTCCCTTTTTATATTCCTCCTTCCTTGGCTCACCACTCCCCTTTCCTTCCAGCCTGCCTAACTTCCTTTTGGGGCCTGGAACTCACAGTCTGACTCAGTCTGGCCTTGGACTTGTTGTCCACTTGCCTCAGCTTCTGTGTTGCAGGAGCTATGTGCTGTAACCCTCAGTGTTGCTTTCTTGCTCTCTGGCTTTTGAGGGTTGTGCCGTCCACAACACACCTGCATTTTGTCTCTCTCACTGGGAGCACTTGCCTGTGGCTTCCTTCTTGTCCAGGGGTTATGTTGTTTCTAGGAGCGCCCTCTGCTGTCTCAGAAGGAGCTGTCACTTACCAGCCAGTGTGCCAGGGAACCACACACTGTAGGGGGGCTAGGACAGCCTCTGTACCCTGGTCACAAGGGTGGGCACTTGGTGAATACAACACGGTGGACACTGAAAGATGAGGCCAAGTCTCTTTAACCACAGGCCTTCTCATTGGGCACAGATGAGAGCGCTGAACTAGGGTGGGACAGAGACAGCAGTGAGGATGAGCCAATATTGCAAATTGTTTGTGGTGACTGAGGGCGTCGGAGGGTTTTCTGAGGAAAACCCTTCAGAGCTGAGCTTCAAGGGACCGACAGTGGCTTTGATGAGACAAGGTGCCACTATATATGAGTGGCCCTGGAGGAAAGATCATTTTTGTCCCAACAGAGGGATTAGTGAGCAGGCAGGGTGGGATTCCAAGGGCAGAAGAGGCAGCCCCTTCCATCCCTCCCCTTTAGCCTGCAGGTGCTCAGTTCCTTCCAGGAACTCCCCTCACTGATCCTATAGGGTCCTTCTCATGACCTTTTCACAGGAATGGGTCCTCTAAGCTCAAAGACAGAAAGCTGTGGAGTTTTCTCTGTATCCAGGCTAAAAGAAATACGTAATGGCTTTGTGTATTAGAAATTAGATCCAAACAATATTCAGAAGTTACTTTCAAAAAATCCACATAGATTGAAAGAAATGCATAATGAATAATGATTCGTGTGTGTGTGTGTGTGTGTGTGTGTGTGTGTGTGTGTGTTTGTGTATTGGGTGTATGTGTGTGTATACATGTATGGTGTTGGGGACCAAACTCAGCAGGCAAGCACTTTGACATTGAGACACACCCACAGTCAACACATATTATTTTAATATTTTTATTTTGTTTTTATATTTTTATGTACATAAAGTGTTTCCATGTATGTATGTATGTATGTATGTATGTATGTATGTATATTACAACCACATTTGTGCCTGGTACCCAAAGAGGTTAGAAGTAGGTGTCAGATTCCCTGGAACTGGAGTTACAGATGTTTGAAAATCGCTGTATGGGTGCTGTGAATGTATGGGTGCGTAGAACCCAAGTCCTATGCAAGAGTGACAAGTGCTCTTAGTTGCTGAGCCATCTTTTGAGACTCCTTATTTATATATTTTTATTTTACATGTATGTGTTTTGTCTATCTGTGTGTGTGTGTGTGTGTGTGTGCGTGCAGGCATGTGTGTGTACCATGAACATGCAGTGTCTGTAGAGGCTAGAAAGAGAGTGTCAGATCCCCTGAAACTGAATCACCTTGTGGATGCTGGGAATTGAACCCAGGTCCTTTAGAAGAGTGCCCAGTGCTCTGCACCCCTAAGCTCTGTCTCCAGCCCCGAATATCCTTGTCTTATTATTTTATGTGTCTGGGTATTTTCTTTGTGTATATGTCTGTACACCATATGAAGGGTGTTGAAGGAAGCCAGAAGGTGTCAAATCTGGAATTAGAATTACAGATGCTGCAAGCCACCATGTGGATGCTAAGAATAGAACCTGGGTCCTCGGGAAGTGCTCTTAACCACTAAGCCATCTCTTCAGCCACACATACTACTTTAAGTTCATTTTTTGTTGTTGTTTGAGACAGGGTCTCTTTATATAATCCTGGCTACCCTGAAATTTGCTGTGTAGACTAGTGTGGCCTCTGACTAGAATATATCTATCTCTGCCACCTGAATTCTAGGAGTAAATGTGTGTGCCACTGCACCTGGCTAATTTTGTCCTCCAACAACTGTAGTCCCCCACCTACTAAAACCACCACCACCTGGTGGGGGTGCACACCTTTAACCCCAGCACTCGGGAGGCAGAGGCAGGTGGATCACTGTGAGTTCGAGCCCAGCCTGGTCTACATAGTTCCAGAACAGACTCTGAAGCTACACAGAGGAACCCTGTCTCAAAAAAACAAAAACAAAACAACAACAAAACAAACAAACAAACAAAAAAAAGCTGAAACCAAAGCAAAGCAAAACAAACAAACAAAACACACTGTAAAGTCTATAGGCTGACGTGCACACCATCTTTGCTTTTTAATGGTAGCAACAGCTTCCAAGCCCAATCTCACTGAGACAAAATCTTAGAGGAATTTGGAACCATTTGAACTAAAATGAAACATACCTATATCTAACAGAGATAACCCTCCCGGGAGAGCAGAAAACATTCTACCC